TTTTTTTTTTTTTTTTTTTTTTTTTTTTTTTTTTTTTTTTTTTTTTTTTTTTTTTTTTTTTTTTTTTTTTTTTTTTTTTTTTTTTTTTTTTTTTTTTTTTTTTTTTTTTTTTTTTTTTTTTTTTTTTTTTTTTTTTTTTTTTTTTTTTTTTTTTTTTTTTTTTTTTTTTTTTTTTTTTTTTTTTTTTTTTTTTTTTTTTTTTTTTTTTTTTTTTTTTTTTTTTTTTTTTTTTTTTTTTTTTTTTTTTTTTTTTTTTTTTTTTTTTTTTTTTTTTTTTTTTTTTTTTTTTTTTTTTTTTTTTTTTTTTTTTTTTTTTTTTTTTTTTTTTTTTTTTTTTTTTTTTTTTTTTTTTTTTTTTTTTTTTTTTTTTTTTTTTTTTTTTTTTTTTTTTTTTTTTTTTTTTTTTTTTTTTTTTTTTTTTTTTTTTTTTTTTTTTTTTTTTTTTTTTTTTTTTTTTTTTTTTTTTTTTTTTTTTTTTTTTTTTTTTTTTTTTTTTTTTTTTTTTTTTTTTTTTTTTTTTTTTTTTTTTTTTTTTTTTTTTTTTTTTTTTTTTTTTTTTTTTTTTTTTTTTTTTTTTTTTTTTTTTTTTTTTTTTTTTTTTTTTTTTTTTTTTTTTTTTTTTTTTTTTTTTTTTTTTTTTTTTTTTTTTTTTTTTTTTTTTTTTTTTTTTTTTTTTTTTTTTTTTTTTTTTTTTTTTTTTTTTTTTTTTTTTTTTTTTTTTTTTTTTTTTTTTTTTTTTTTTTTTTTTTTTTTTTTTTTTTTTTTTTTTTTTTTTTTTTTTTTTTTTTTTTTTTTTTTTTTTTTTTTTTTTTTTTTTTTTTTTTTTTTTTTTTTTTTTTTTTTTTTTTTTTTTTTTTTTTTTTTTTTTTTTTTTTTTTTTTTTTTTTTTTTTTTTTTTTTTTTTTTTTTTTTTTTTTTTTTTTTTTTTTTTTTTTTTTTTTTTTTTTTTTTTTTTTTTTTTTTTTTTTTTTTTTTTTTTTTTTTTTTTTTTTTTTTTTTTTTTTTTTTTTTTTTTTTTTTTTTTTTTTTTTTTTTTTTTTTTTTTTTTTTTTTTTTTTTTTTTTTTTTTTTTTTTTTTTTTTTTTTTTTTTTTTTTTTTTTTTTTTTTTTTTTTTTTTTTTTTTTTTTTTTTTTTTTTTTTTTTTTTTTTTTTTTTTTTTTTTTTTTTTTTTTTTTTTTTTTTTTTTTTTTTTTTTTTTTTTTTTTTTTTTTTTTTTTTTTTTTTTTTTTTTTTTTTTTTTTTTTTTTTTTTTTTTTTTTTTTTTTTTTTTTTTTTTTTTTTTTTTTTTTTTTTTTTTTTTTTTTTTTTTTTTTTTTTTTTTTTTTTTTTTTTTTTTTTTTTTTTTTTTTTTTTTTTTTTTTTTTTTTTTTTTTTTTTTTTTTTTTTTTTTTTTTTTTTTTTTTTTTTTTTTTTTTTTTTTTTTTTTTTTTTTTTTTTTTTTTTTTTTTTTTTTTTTTTTTTTTTTTTTTTTTTTTTTTTTTTTTTTTTTTTTNCTTTTCCCATACGATTACATGTAAAACCAAATAATTCGTTCCAACGCGAAAAACATACTCAAATTAAAGCCAAGTAATACATTAAAAAAATAACTGTAGTAAGAAAAACAAATGAAAAATGCGAACTAATGCAACGTCGTATGGTGAGTTTTTGTTTGTATCGTAGAGCAAAAATATGTTCGAATTTCATGTCGTATCCTGAAAATTTCATATGCTGGGGCGTTCGTAACCTGAGGTACCACTGTATACTATTTTGAAATAAATAAAAATTTTTAATTTACTATGTATTCTACCCTTCTGATTGATAACCTTACACCACCTGATGGGTAGTTTCATAATTCCATCTGTGTAGAATTGGGTGTGTTTCTGATTGAAGAAATTATCGATGTGACTTTTTATACCTTCTAAAGATTGAAATTCTATGCCATTTAAATTATTCTGCAATGAATGAAAAAGATGATAGTCTGTGGGAGAAATATCTGGAGAATCCCAGTTAAAGTCTAGAAGTTTTTGGTGCACATTTAACGATATGTGCAGTCTTGCATTATTATGATGGAATACCACTCCCCGTCAATTTGCAAGTTCCAGACAGTTTTGATGCACTGCAGCCTTTAGTTCATCCAGTTGGAAATTATTTATTGGAATTAATTGTTTGGTTGTTGGGTAAAAGTTCATAATAAAGAATCCTTTTCCAGTTCCACCAAGCTGAAACTGTTACTTTTCTGGGATGCAAACCAGCTTTAGATTGCAGCACTGGAGGATCACCTGGCTTACTCCAAGATCTTTTGTGTTGAATATTGTTGTAAACGATCCATTTTTCATCGACTGTTATTAATCACTTTAAAAAGGAATTGTCTTCATTGCATTTTAAAAGTGAATCACATACAGAAACACGCTCAATAAGGTTTTGTTCATCTAATTCAGCGATTCCCAACCTGTGGTACGCGTACCCCTAGGGGTACGCGATAGGTTGTTTAGGGGTACAGAAAAAAGTTTGTTATTATGGCAGAAAAAATAATATTATGTATCACAAACTAATAGTATTAAAAAATTATTAGATAAAAAATGTTCCTTGCAACAATCACAATATGTAAAATTACAATATGTAAAATTAACAATACGGTTACTCACTAAATTTCTTAAATGAGGGGTACAATCTAGAGATATGACATGTCACGNAATTTTTACGGGACAATGTGTGCATTTACGTGCATTTGATAATATTTTATTTGTGATTAAATGAAATAAAATTAGAATTGTATTAATATATCTAATTTTCTTTATTTTGATCTTTAAACTTACATCTTGTTCTATATGCAAAATCATCTTATGTTCAAGTAAATACAGTACATTGAATATATAACACATTTTTTGAACATATTTTTTTATGATTAATATATTAATGTATTCATCATAGAGATTAATTAAATAAATGTTAGCATAAAAATTTGTTATTTAAACAAAATTTTTTTATCAGAAAATAAATAGTATAAGTTAACATACAGATTGAATTACTTGTATTTCAAGTTATTAATGTTTTGGCTAAAAGATATCTTTGTAAATTGTTTTTGTTTTATCATATATTTTAAAAGTTTAGTTACAATAAATGTAAATGCTTAAATAAAAGCTTTATAAAATTAAAATTAAATAAAGCTATATTGCCCTCACTTAATGACATTGACTAGCTGACTTATTAACTCATTAATATGAAATGTTTCAGTCGAAACAAACTTCTTTTAGAAAAATGAAACAGTGCATAATATAATCAATATTTCTGTTTTTCTCATAATATAATTAATATTTCTGTTCATATGAACAGAAATCTGTTGATCAGAAATCATATGAACATAAATATTGATTATATTATGAGAAAAACTGAAATTCAAAAAGTCAAATATTTTAGGTCCTATGAGATATCAAAGGTCAACCTCCAATGTCTCATATTGTGTTATAATGTTAATTGGATGATTACGTGCCACCTACCTATTTTTTAATTTGTTCTAGATTATTTTAATAATGACATTTTCGTTTTGTATTACTACCATTAATTATTTTTTATTAGATTTTAATATAAATAATTTTAATTATTTAATTTTTTTAAACGATATTATTTATATGAAGTGTTTCTGAAATAGTGGGACAAACTTCAGTAGATGATTCTTTACAGGAAAATAAAGAAAAAAACATATAAACATGTGTCTAGAAATGAGGAGTTTTTGAGAAATCAAATGCTTTATGATAGTGTCAGGTGGATGATGGATTTTATTATATAACTCTCTTATTAATGTTTTTATTTAATTTTTGACTAAAGTGACAGCAGCTCACTTTGTCAACATGCACATCCTGAACTAAGTCAAACCTATAATATATGTACAGGTGAATAGGCAGACTGGGTAAGGTGGGTTGGCCTCCATGTTTCCCCACTCTGAATCTTTTGGATTTTTATCTGCTATATGATATGCTAGGAAGATGTTATAGCTGCTTTAGTAAGAATTGAAAGACATGTGACAGTGGTAACCAATAGTAGGAATGAGAGGTCACATCATGCCCAATCCATCAATCTAGTATGGTATTGCATAGTTCATATTTTTTTTAGTAAATTGTAACTTTTAGATGAATCAATATTGTATTGAATTGAATCAACTATTGATATATTTTCACTATAAATTCAGATGTTATTATCTGTTCCTTATTTAAACATTGAATAATAAATACAAATAGATACAGTTTAAGCTTATTTATTGTTAACTTTATGTAAGAGTGGAAGAAATGGCTTACAGTAATTTCAAAAAACATTCTTTACAAAAATTTTCTCAGATCTCCTAATTCTGTTTGAAATTCTTCTTTGTTCTCAAATTCTATTATGACATTTATGACCTACATAGTCTAAACAATCAAACACCTTATTTGGAAGAATGTCACATTCATCTTTTACCAAAATAAGTTTAGTGTATGCTGCTCCCATTGACAATGCAGAAATACTTATGTAATGCATTGTTTATATCTGCACCACCATATACAGGAGGCCTGGAAACTCCAAAGAGCACAGAAGCCTATGCTCTAGTAGATTCACACATACATAGACACATGGAAGGTATTTTCGACATTTGTTATGTAAGATTAAGTAATAAAATCTGTCTTGCACCTGACATGGTCATAAGAGGTTTGATTTCTTGAAAAGCTCATTTCCAAACATATGTTTATATGCTTTTTTCTTTATTTTCCCATGAGGAATCATTCCCAAAGTTTGTCCCACTGTTTTAATACCTTGTAAATACAAAACTAATATTGTTTAAAACTCATTATAAATTATAACACTGGTAAGATTATCACAAAGTTATGTGAAATGTTGAGATTGGACTGCCAAAGTTGGTCAGAGACGGAGCACCTAGTAACTAGTAACTATATATATATATATATATACAGCATTATTACTAAGTGCTTTTCCCTTAGTATATACATACTTTATTAACTAAATATTTGATACATCTTAATATTTTTTTATATTCTAATTTTTATGGAGTGGTAATCTAAATTTTATCTCAAAATTTTATAGGGAGAAGATCCTTCATCTTTTGATGGAAATAATGCATCATGTTTTGATTACATAAAAAGTTTGTCTGATGATTTTGTTTATCAACCTACATCAAATGAAATGAACTCTAAGTCTCAATGTAAAGTACATAAAGATTATACTGTAACTCCACTTACTTTAAATCTTTATGATGATTCTGATTTTTGCAAATTCCCTGAAATGGATAAAAAATTCTCAATAAATGAACAGAAAACTTATCATCAGTATCAAAACATTTTAGGCACTTACTCTGATATGAATAGAGATCAACATAAATGCTGTTCTACAAATGAAAAAAATCCAATAATTAATTCACTAGATTTCATTGAAAATATGAAATGTACCAATTGCCAAAAATATGCTGAAATATTACATAGTATGTGTTCTGAATGTAAAAAGAAAATTTCTGTGATTCTGTGCAAAGATTGTTATAATTCTCAACAGTTTAATGAAGAAGGTATGCTATTAATTTTTTTGTTTTATGGTTATCTTATTCAATCTTAAAATAAAGTTCCAAGCCAAAAATAACTATATTAATTGGAATAAGATGCATTTTCACTGATTACAAGTAAAATAATATATTGAGTAAGTTATACAAGTATCTAAATGAGAAAAGTTATTAATTACATAGATTTATTAATCTTCTAAGTATGAAATATTAATTTGTAACCTAATCAAATCGTAACAATAATTAATTTAACTAGATTATCTATCACCTTATAAAATAATTTTCATGTTTAGAAAGATTAATAAATTTAAATAATGACTTTTCTTATTTATATATTTTTATAATTAAATTATTTAACATACTGTATTATTTTTTATATGCAAGTAGTGTCCAACTTATAAAGATATTCTCTTTCAGAACTCCTGTCGTAAGTCATATTGGTCATAAATTGAGCATAAAAAATAATGGTGATAATGGGATGTGATTCCCAAGATCATAAATAAGTGTAGTACATATTGTATATCTACTATGTTTCAATTAGTTAATATGTGTACTGTACATACAGTACAATACTATATAATACAATAATTCAACACAATGCAGTACAATGACAGTATTTATGTATACTGTGAATTACACTGATGTTTAATATTTTAATTAATTACAGTATTTTATTAAAACAATTCATGAACACATGCAGGTAGTCAACCATATTCAAAAGAATCAAAAATCAAACAGTATTGTAATTTTCATATGGAATTGATTTTATTTTTATGTTAATTTTAATTAATTTAATTTATTAGGGCTGTTCATAAATTACATCCACGTTTGTCTTGAAATTTTTACCTCCCTCTTCCCCTTTGTCCAGTTTGTCCGAGTTTCCTTAATCCCCTCCCCTCTTTGGACATCCAACAAAACTCAACCCCTTCTCAAAATCTTTACACTTTATGAATAATAAAATGGATAAACTGTATAAAATCTAATGAAATAAAACAGATATCCATTGAAGTTCAACTCTTCCCGTTCCCCTTATCCAACTTGTAACCCCCTTCCTCCTTTCCAATGTTGATGTAATTTATGGACAGCCCTTTATTAATGCATTTTAACCTTATAAAATTAAAATTAGAATGTTAATCCAGAGAAACTGTGTGTGTTTGTGTGCATATATATAATTCAGTTATTAGCCAATCAATAAAAACAATTTTGAATATTCTGAAAAATTGCAAACTAATTTTAATTGAATAAAATAACATAATAAAATTTTTTAAGATTCATTATTTTAGTGATTTTTTAATTGTATCCAACACTAAAATACTGGTATATTCATAAGATTTTTTGAAATATAAATTGATTTTTTTATGGATCTTACAAAATGAGTTTTATTTACTGTACATGCAAAAACATAGTTAAATTATTGAAATGTTTTTATTATTAATGTCTTGTAGCAAAAATCTAATAAGCAAAACATTATTGTAGATCAAAGAATAGCAGATTATATTCAGTTACATAGTAAAACATCAAGGTAAAAGGATTTAACTATTCAACTATAGTTTATTTATATTATTTTAATGTATTTAAATAATTTTTCTTTTGCAGTGAAGAAAATGTGAAACAACAAAGTTCACAAAAAGACAATTATTATATACAAATGGTAATGTTTTCTTTTTCCATGCTAATTTAAACTTTTAAAATGTCATTTCAAATCAAATTCATATAATCAAGACTAATACAGGTAGGCCTCCTACAATGCGGTAGATACATTCCTTGAAAATACCGCGTTGTGGGAAATCGCGTTATAGGAGACACCAACTTAATACAAAAACTGGGATTTGGTTCTAAAAAGAGAAAAACTTGACGTTTGAATGGCGTTTTTTGAATTTTTCAAACCAGCCATTGCTAGCCACGAATTTAAACCTTATTTCATCAGCCGACGGTGGTCCCATTTGTTTTAATAATCAAATATTTTTAAGGCTTTGTGTTTAACTGCACTTTTATTTAAAGGCAATCGTTTATTGTTCATATCTTCTACCCATAATATCAGCGCTTGTTCCTTTTTTTTTTTTTTTTTTTTTTTTTTTTTTTTTTTTTTTTTTTTTTTTTTTTTTTTTTTTTTTTTTTTTTTTTTTTTTTTTTTTTTTTTTTTTTTTTTTTTTTTTTTTTTTTTTTTTTTTTTTTTTTTTTTTTTTTTTTTTTTTTTTTTTTTTTTTTTTTTTTTTTTTTTTTTTTTTTTTTTTTTTTTTTTTTTTTTTTTTTTTTTTTTTTTTTTTTTTTTTTTTTTTTTTTTTTTTTTTTTTTTTTTTTTTTTTTTTTTTTTTTTTTTTTTTTTTTTTTTTTTTTTTTTTTTTTTTTTTTTTTTTTTTTTTTTTTTTTTTTTTTTTTTTTTTTTTTTTTTTTTTTTTTTTTTTTTTTTTTTTTTTTTTTTTTTTTTTTTTTTTTTTTTTTTTTTTTTTTTTTTTTTTTTTTTTTTTTTTTTTTTTTTTTTTTTTTTTTTTTTTTTTTTTTTTTTTTTTTTTTTTTTTTTTTTTTTTTTTTTTTTTTTTTTTTTTTTTTTTTTTTTTTTTTTTTTTTTTTTTTTTTTTTTTTTTTTTTTTTTTTTTTTTTTTTTTTTTTTTTTTTTTTTTTTTTTTTTTTTTTTTTTTTTTTTTTTTTTTTTTTTTTTTTTTTTTTTTTTTTTTTTTTTTTTTTTTTTTTTTTTTTTTTTTTTTTTTTTTTTTTTTTTTTTTTTTTTTTTTTTTTTTTTTTTTTTTTTTTTTTTTTTTTTTTTTTTTTTTTTTTTTTTTTTTTTTTTTTTTTTTTTTTTTTTTTTTTTTTTTTTTTTTTTTTTTNGCAGCGATTCCCAACCTGTGGTACGCGTACCCCTAGGGGTACGCGATAGGTTGTTTAGGGGTACAGAAAAAAGTTTGTTATTATGGCAGAAAAAATAATATTATGTATCACAAACTAATAGTATTAAAAAATTATTAGATAAAAAATGTTCCTTGCAACAATCACAATATGTAAAATTACAATATGTAAAATTAACAATACGGTTACTCACTAAATTTCTTAAATGAGGGGTACAATCTAGAGATATGACATGTCACGGGGTACGCTAATGAAAAAAGGTTGGGAACCACTGATCTAATTGATGGGGAACCCAAACATCATAATGGGGAGTGTATCCAAGGCTAGTCAAATGTTTGACAACAGATGTTTGGGATATTTTTAAGATGTTTGCTATCTCTCATGTTGTTTTATGCTAATCATTTTGAATTAAAGCAGTTATGGCCATTGAAGGCCATCCTGACCGAGGTGCATTTTATGCCAAATAAGTTTTAAATGTTTGAATGATCACTTCAATTTTGATGAGAAAATAAAAATATTTTGTTTTTTCTCTTCTGGAGTTTTGAGCATTAAAATTGCTATTTTAATGTATCCATCAAAAGTTTGATGAAATTATGATCTCAATGAAATGGGTGTTCCAATGATGAGAGACAAAGCCTAACATATTGAGATTAGAATACTCTAAAATATTTCTGGAAATTTAATTTAATCCGAGCTTAGATCTTACACAGTAGCAGACATGTAGATTAGATACATTGGCTAAACAACCATCAAAACTAAAAGAAATTTGATATACCATAGAAATACAAATTTATTTAATCAGAACTTTATCTATTTCAATTATACATCATTTTATTTCATTGCACTGTTTAGTTATTATCAGAACAACATAAATCTCTGTATCTTGCATTAACTCTTTGTCTTTTGTTTGATTGAGGATTTCCCTCTAACATGCTTTTACTTATATTTTATTCTTTTATACTAAACACTAAATAATTGTTAATTTCATAATCAATATATTAGATATTTATTGGATTTATGAGAATTAGCATTTTGTTGTTTTTTTTTTAACTTAATATAAAAAATTTTACATTCATTTTATATATAATTTGATTTTAAAATTTTATGTTTTTACTTTTCATGTTTTTAGTAAAGAATAAAATATTAATTATTTTTTATTTTTAATATAATTATAGTTACAAGCAGAGAAACCTGATGTATATTCTCAACCAATCACAAAAGAAATTGTAAATATTCCTTTTCTCAAGCCAAACTCTACAAATTGGAGTGAAACAAATTCGTTGGAGCAACTCACCAGTACAGTGGAAAATAATACTGCTAAAATTGTTAGAAAAACATGTGTCATTTCAACAAAAACGCCTTTAGAAAAACAAAAAATATTGTTTATGAAAGAGGATCATGATCCAGTAAAAGACCTTAAATCAATTTATTCTAATTCAATTAGATATGATAGTAAAATTAAATCTAGAGACATGGAAAAATATAATAAATTACATCCATGGAAATAACTGTGATTTTAATTTCTGACTAATTGAAGACTAAATTTTTATAAAATTTAAAAATATATTTTTTATTTTTTAATTTTGCATGGATTTCAATTTTGTAATTAGTTTTATTTATAAGCCTTTACAGTTCAGTAATAGTTTGTACTAAAATTCATTTTATTTTTTCCAGAATACTCTTATGATTTATTGTATGTTACATGAAAGAATTAAATAATTTGAAAATGAGTTCTTATAAGAATGATTCTTTTGAATAATGTTCTTGAATTTTAATTCTAAAACTTTAATTTTTCAAGGACTAAAATTGTCAGTTGTCCATTTATGCTGTTTTATAGTATAAAATTAAAATTATATTTTTAACAGCAAGTGAATTTTAACAAAATATAAACTTCATGTCTGTAAATTAACTATTGTATGCGATTAATTTTCTCTTTGACAAATACATTTAAGTCCACTCCAAAAACATATTTATGTTTACGAAACATGACTATAGGTATGTTTTGGTGTTGTTAATCAAATATTGATTGCGTGATCGCTTTCGGCTTATATTGTTTTGCGAAGAACGCTTTATCCATTAGAAAACGACATTGTCGACAATCTATTAGATTCTTTGAAGGAGATGCTAAATGACTAGCCTTTTCAGTCAAAGATTTTAAAACCGGAAGAGAAGGAGAAATGAAAACGAAGAAGAATCTGATTGTTTATTTTGATACATTAATTTTATACCCAAAAACAAAAGCTTCCGACGCGAGGAAATTCATCCGAATGAGAATCGAATTCCGACTCTCATGTAGAAGCCCGGAATACTTCAATATAATTATCCGTATTATTCGATAAAAGACCAACGAAAACATTCGCTTTAAATTCGCAATCCTAAGATAAAAACTGAATGAAAATTCATTTGTAAATTTTCCGTCCTTTCCTTTTGTTCATAGAGGAGTTTATTTCTATTCGCTTTTACTCCGAAGAGAAGAGAGGAGATAGATCGCAAGGCGACGGAAGAGCTGGCCTTATAGAAGACGGCCGGAAGATACACAAAGGGAGATAGAATGCCTTCCGACAGGATAAAAGTCTTCTCGGAAGCTGGCCCCTATTTAGGTGTCATCTGCAAGGAGAAAACCCGGAAAAATCCAAGCTGCCAGCCTGTCCAATCGAGGCGCAAACCCACAACCGAACTCCCAGTGTTTTGGGTCTGGTCACCGCCGTTACGAATGGAGACAGAGTCCACTCGGCCGTTGGTGGGCAAATTTTCCGTCAAGCTTTAATGCTTTATAGGTTAAAAAAAAATTATAGAACGATTTATTTACGAATTTAATATAATAATAAATTTCAATTATTGTTCATTTAAATAATTTATTCCGTTTATTACAAAAAATAATAATAATTTTTCGTGGTAATAAACGTTAATTAACGTGAATTTTATATATGAATGATTTATCCATCAAATATGAAATTACATTATGAAAGCGCCTCTATTGGCCATTCGTAAAATTAGTTTTGTTTTGAATTTTAAAAAATCGAAATGTCAGCTGATCAGCGTCAAGGTAAATCTTCATTTTAACTTATCGATTTTAAAGGAGTTGCACGTTATAACAACTAAATATGATGTATTACATTTGATTTCTTGGGTTATTAAATATGAAATATTTATAAATTTAGAACCTGAAGAATTATCTAAGTATGACGTCGATTCGGAAGGCCCGTTATGTTCTGCCGATCGGATCAAGATTCCGCCCGACATGTCAGAGATTATGAAACAGTTCACCAAAGCAGCCATTCGAACGCAACCTCCCGATCTTCTTTTTTGGTCTAAAGCATATTTTCAGGCTTTATCAGAGGGTAATCTGCCGCCAGTCAAAGAAAGATTTGAAATTAAAATTCCTCTTGCTTATGGTTTGAGTAGAGAGATATTACAAACGCTGCATAAGCAGTTAGGCCATAAAAAGAAAGTCAAAATTGATTCTTTGAAAAAAAAGTGGATGGATTTCTGTTTACAGAAAGAACACTTAATGCTTGTCTTGAAAAAATCGGGTTACGTGGATCAACAAGAAGTTAATTGGTTAGAATTTTTAGCTGTGGCTTGCATGTCGATTAACAATACCATGATCGATACTATGATCATGATATGCGAAATCCTCACGGATGATCCTAGAGGTGGTCCTGCTAGAATACCTTTCGTTATATTCGAACACTTATACCGTTTTCTAGCCAATATTAATGGAAGAATTCCTTTAGAACAAGTGGAAATTGCTATGAATTATCTTGCTAAGGAATCTAGTAGACAACAAGAACTGATCAAACCTAGAAACTTTCTGTTTCCGGACTGTCCGCCTATCAATGAACTACCCATTGATAAAAGTGAATCTGAATTGTATTGGAAAGAAGAAGAATTAAAAACTTTACATAAACAATTAGGGCATAAAATAGGGGAGGAAGAAGAATTAGGGATCCTCATGGGAATGGAGGAAGAATATCTTCCGTCAATGGAAGAAATCGTGCCTCCTCAAGATTTTGCATTACTGTTTAAGAGGAGATTCCATAGATGGAGAAAACTTAATTAATAGATCTTTTAATACTATACAATAAAAAATAGTTTNAGAGTTATAATCACAGATAAAACAATTTAACACAACAGACCAGATATCACTCCCATTGACTAATGCAGTAAAATCACTTATATAATAGACATTTATGTTCCAAACACTAATAACATAAAAAATGCTCACACTGAAAAAATCAACAAATGCACTCTGCTCACTCAAGAAGTAAAACAGATGTTGAGGATGGATAAGGTATTTATTGTACCTGTTGTCCTCTCCCCTACTAGTGTTATACCACATAGGCTACACAAAAGTCTAGAAACATTAAACCTTAATAAAAACATGTACAGTAATACCCCGAACTTACGTGATAGGTGGGACCGAGTGATAATCGCGTAAGTCAAATTTGCGTAAGTCGGGATATAATTTCGCAATTTGTGTAAAATCCAAGTCGGATGTATGTAAGCTAATAAATGTTCTGGTTAATTAATTAATCTTGTCTCGTTTTTTGATTCATTCACGATTACAAGAAATCACCACATAGAGTCTCTCAAATCTCCGTAGATATAACAAACACAGAAATAAATAACAAAATAAATTGTAGCTATGCTTCGATTCCGCGCGAATAGTTGGGGGAAGTGAGTAATCAAGAGTTGCATGGCGCTCAAACAAAAGATGAATCGACGAGATTTGAAAATCGTGTAACTCTGGGTTCGCATAAGTCGAGGTATTACTGTACATGGCACTACAGAAAGCTGTAATATTGAACACATGTCACATTGTTAGAAAGTTTCTAGATTTTGACACATATACCAATAACACAGAAGCTTAAGGTTTGGGTAACTATGCCTTGACTTTAGTCCAGCATAGCACTTGGCACCAGTGTCAGCTGAGCATGACATTTGTAACATAGTAATAGTAATAGTCATATTTATGAAAACTGTACATAAATAATATAGCATTAATTAAATTTAATGTTTTTACTAGTTTAACATATGTGCTATTTATAACATATTCTATTGATAAAAGTTAACTAACCTACATCAGATTTCCCAAATGTTTCTACATATTCATTTCTATTTCACAATTATGAAATATTAGCATATATATTTTGTTATAATAGTATTGATAACATAATTATTATTAAAGTTGTAATATAAAAACTATTTCCATGTCTTTAAAACAAACTGTGGACTACACAGTATAATATAACAAAGTATTAAATGGGCAATAAAGAAACAGCAATTGTTCCTATAGATATGTAAATCATTATTGTATGAAAAAGTGAGATTACTTTTATTGAATAGAACATTTATTAATATTAAACATATACTATTAGAGAGCAAAATAATTAGAAATACAAGTAATACTTTATGATGATGTAACATTAGAATGTAATTAAATATACCACATTTACTCACATATAAGATGAGGTTTTCATTCATTTTTCACTGCTTCAAAAACCTAGGTCATCTTATACACACAAGTGAAGAATTCTTTGCATTTTTGCAATAATTTTTGTCAACCCTGTCTTTGCATTTTTTACTGGATGCGCACTCTCTGGTGTTTAAAAACAACTATTTTATCTGGATCATTTGAATCGTTCTTGTGTATTGTCAGGAGTAAAGATGAATAGCAATAGGAAAAGCAGTTCTGTTCCCTGAACACTGGGAGTCTGGTCATGGGTTCATGCTTTGCCAGGACAGACTGGCCATGTGGAGTTTTCCAGGTTTTCTCTATATCTGTAATGCCTGAATAGGAGCCAGTTACCCTTAAAAAGACCTCCTGGAAGGCATCCCTAAGGCAGATCACCCAAGTGTTGCTTTGCCATAACTTAGCAAAACAAACAAACAAATGAAATTCCAAAATCACACAGAGGTCCAATATAAGTTTTAATCCATTCCCACATGAAAACAGGGCCGTGTTCAGTAACGCAGAATTCTTGCTCAGTCTAGTTATGCTGCAATGTTGAACTGGTTTCTAACTACTGCTTGACTCCTCCCACCGATAGAATTCTTGGTAGTTCGGTCAGGGCCATCTTACTAAGTCCAATTGTGCTGCGTTAAACCCGTTTCTAATTACTGCTTGACTCCTCCCACCGCTAGAATTCTTGCTAGTTCAGTCAGCTTCTTTTATCTACGCTAACTTCTACTAGCGACGTTATTGCTTTTGTCTCGTATGATTTACAAGATGGCTGCTCGTGTTGGTCAAAACATATTTTATTATAACAATCATAAAATTGTTATAATAATGAGTGAACAAGAGGCTAACAGTTTTAATGGTAAGATATTAACTTTTCTTTCTTTTTTTATAACTTCCACAATAATTTATTTCAAACACTTAATGGATGTAATTACTGTTAATTTAAGTAAATTAATACTCTGTTAATAAGAACGACTTTCACAGATTCTAGTTTATTTTTATTATAAAATAGTTAATTTGAAGACAACTAGTACTTTTTATAATTAATTAAGTCTCACTATTCACTTTATTCTAGATTATTATGTACAGTACTAGAATAAAAACTTTTTTTCATTATAGATATGTGTTCTTCAGATGCAAATTTTCTTTCTGCATACATGCAGAATTGTATAGATAATAATAAAGAAAATAAAGAAATAGGTTCAAATCATGAAAATCTTAGTTCCAACCAACTTTCTGATAATATAGGATTAAGTGAAAGAAATGAAATAATTCCTAAAGATGAGGCAAACTCGAAAGGTATAATATAGTTTTCATTATTTAGTATAATGTTATTATTATTCTATAATTACTGTTCAATAAATTTTCAGAAAAATTTGTATGGACACATGCCTGTATATTACTACTAATTGAAACGTATAGAGAAAAAATGTTAGATTTCCAGAAACCAACCAAAAAAAAAATAGAAGTTTGGAAAGATATATCTAATATTTTTTTAAAAAAAGGTTTAAATGTGTCATGGGCAAACATCCAAAAAAAGTGGAGTAACCTAGGTGTAACCTATAAAAAAATTATGGATAACAATAATTCAACAGGAAGAGGTCGAATATCTTGGCCATACTTTCACCTTTTAAATGATATATTGGGAAATACAGGAACAATAGTACCGGTTTCGGAGCTTGTAAATTCTTCTGATAATAGAAAACAAAACAATGAAAATGAAACAGAAGAACAAAACAAGACAATTTCTGAAATTAGGTGAGCAATTTATATCATTTATAATTAAGATTTTATTTATAATGTTTATTATAACATCCTTTGTTGTTTACAGTTTATCAAACAATAAAACAGAAGAAAAAATAAAGAAAAAAAGAAAGATACCAGAATGGGCTCAAGAAATCTTGAGCAATCAAAGGAAAAAGGCAAAAGCTGATGCGGAGCATCAGGATCGCATGGCAAAACTTTTGCAAGAAAATATTAACGAAAACAGAAAAAGA